ACCCGGGAGACCAGGCCCCTCCTCCCTCAGCCCCGGGGGTCCCGTGCCCTGCCCCCGCGGCCACAGACAGGAATCCCGCCCCCAGCTCTTTCTTTCCCCCAGGACCCTCCATCTCCTCGTGGAGGCTGCAGAGAGCCCTCGACGGGGCCGTGCTGACCTGGGACGTGGAGCGTGGGGCGCTGATCAGTGGCTTTGAGGTCCAGGCGCGGCCAGAGGGGCCTGACCCGGGAAGAGCCCACCCCTACAAGGACTGGGTGTCCCTGCTCATCCTAGGGCCTCAGGAGCGGTCTGCAGTGGTGCCCCTCCCCCCTCGGAGCCCTGGGACCTGGGCCCTGCGTATCCTACCCACGCTGGGGGGCCAGCCAGGAACCCCTTCCCAGAGCCGGGTTTACCGAGCCGGTGAGTTGGGGCTGTGGGCCTGTGCTCTTCGACCGCCTCCTAGCTCTCCAGGAAGCCGTTAGTTACGGCCCTCCTCCCTCGGCACCTGTGTCTCCTCAGCCTCTAAATGCTGGACTGTCTCAGGGTGTGATTCTGTCAACTCTGGTGGCCTTGTTGTTCTCAGTCAGGTCCGTTCTGACGCGTGGCAGCCCCACGTGTGACAGTAGAGCCTCTCTGTAGGGTTTTCCAGGCTGACTTTTAGGAAGCAGATAGGCTGATCTTCTGAGGTGCCACTAGGTGAGTTCCAACGATCAACCTTTGGATCCACGTCCAGGGTAGCAGACTTAACTGTTGTCACTACCAAAGACCTTGTCATGGTGTTAAATATCATATTATGTAGAGAGATAGGAGCTCTGGTAGCATAGGGCCTAAGGCACTTGACTGCTAACCAGAAGGCTGGCGGTTCAAACCCACCAGCCACTCCTCGGAAGGAAGGCTGGGCAATCTACTTCCGTAGTGATACTGCCTCGGAAACCCAAGGAGGGGTCGCTAAGAGTCAAGTCAAGTCAATGGCAGTGACTTTGGTTTGGGCTTGGCTTCCAGTGGGTGTGGTTTGGGCTTTGCTCCCATCAAGACTGACAGCCTCGGAGACCCTGTGGTGCAGTTCCACTCTGTCCTCTAGGGGCGCTGTGGGTCAGAATCCCCTCCAGGCACTGGGTTTGGTTTGG